TCTACATAGGTCATCCTTTTGGAAGACTTCCCACTGTAGAGGAGGACTTGTCAGACAGCCTCCTAACACTTCCATGCTGGAAGGTGCAGAAAACTGATCACAAGATGGAGGTTGCAGACATTTTTCTGTGTGAGCATATTGGGATGGAGAGGAAGCGATAAGAGAAGCTGAACTGACAGAGCAAATGGATCTGAGAACCAGCCCTATCTTACAGCAACCAGGATGATCTTGTCTCAATTCACTTGAAGAATGATTAGAATAGATGGAAAGATGTACAGAAGAATTGACCACCACCAGCAGCAGAAGGCCTCAGAGAAGGAGTCCAAATTGAGACTCCTCCAGGGCAGAACAGTCAACACTTCCTGTTTTCTCTTGTCACAAAGAGATTGATTGAAGGGATGTCCCATGTTGCAAAGGTGACCAGAGAACATTTCCCTTTTGGGACCATTCACAGCCCAGGAAGAAACTCCTACTGAGTTCCTACTCCAGCCACAGTCAGTAAGAAGGAACTGAGAGGAGTCAGGGTGCTGTCACCTAACATAGCCAAGGGAGGGGCAACAGCTATGGGGCACTAATAACTCATCCCCACAGATACTGCTAGGCATAAGCCTCTAGCTCCAGTGACCTTAGCATGCACATACCTTAGTGGAATATACATTGGCCTCTACTTCAAGATTAATTTAGTACTATCTGTCTATACAGCACTTTTAGTTATAAAGTGGAGGAGGCTGGATAAACACAGATGTGAGTAGGATGCTTTCTGAAGCGAGCTTTGCTTATGTAAAGAAGTTAAATTCTGCTGCTTTTATACTAATCCACAACAAACCAAATACAGTGAATAATTCAGCTTAAAAGCAAACAATATATTCATAAAAACATAACAGAAAAGCTCTAGAGAGTATTGCTATTATACAGGAAAATACAAAAAAGAAAAGATAATGTATCGTTCTAGTCTTGTGAGATTTTGAAAATGGTATGCTTATATTGTACTTTCTAATAGTATATGGTAATGTCAGAGATAAAGGTAGGATGAATAACTGAGCACCATAACGTTTAAGTACTTAAAAATTGGCTTATGATCTGTTTTAAAAGAAAATAACTGTTTGCAGGGACATTGTTAGATACCTAAACAGCCAGCAGTGACTTCTAGAGGTTCTGCTGTATTGATTTCAATAGTCACAACAGTTCCCAACTTCCACTTGGAGTGGTGGTTGCAAAAATCCACACCCAGAAAGGCAAAAGCAAGGCCCTGTTTCCTTTCCAAGACTAACAACATAGGTTCCACTCCTCTTTGGAACAGGAAAGCAGAAGATTCCCCTTTTCCTACCCATAAAACAGTCAGGCCATGTCTACACTACATCACTCTGTCGGCAGAGGGATGTAAATAAAGCACATTGAAAGCGCAAATAAAGTGGCGATTTAAATATCCTGTGCTTCATTTGCTTAATAATGCTCTGGCGCTGTTTCGAACAAGCACCATTTTGAAACTGAAACCGTGGTTTAGATGTGGTTCCGCCGACAGCGGGGTGATTTTTCGACAAATCCTGTACTCCTCGTTTTTTGAGGGCATATTTAAATCCCCGCTTCATTTGTTTTTGATGTGCTTTATTTACATCCCTCTGCCGACAGAGGGATGTAGTATAGACCTAGTCTCAGGGCGGCAACATAGGGACCCACCAATACTTACCTCAGCACTCAGTCTGTATCTGTTTGGGTGCTGGGAGGGGAACTTCTTCTCTTCCTGCCAGAGTCCTTTGCTTGGATATTGTTGATGGGCACCCCAGAGCACTGAGTCTTGGCATTAACAACCTGCTGAGTTGCACATGGCTGCTCTTCCATCTCAGAGCAAACATCTCTGCATCAGTTACTTAATACCTAGTTTCAAGGGTTTCTTTAAAACCAGGAAAGTTATAAACTTATTTTTTAAACAAAAGCTGGAATTCTGATGTAATCACATGATTCTAGGATCTAGGGCCTTATGAACAATCATATAGTGCTTATAACCAATTGCTGAAGCCACAAATGTCCCTCTGCTGTGTTCTATATGTACAACTTTTCAGCCATCAGCTCTCCCACATATGTTAGTATATCTTTCCATCTGCTCTATATAACTTGCAGAGACAGTGGGAAGTGGGATCGATACCAAGGAAATGAGGAGGGGAGGAAAGCTGGAGCAGAAGCTGGGTAAAGCAGAAACTAGGCCAGCCACTGACCTAGTCTACTGGGTAAATGGAGGGTCAACATTAGAGTTTTCTCTGTGCTGCTCCCTGCCTAAGCTCTTTTCAGCTCCCACTCTTCTTGTCTAACTGCAACATGAAAAGAAAGCATTAAAAAGAAACAAAAGAGTGAACATGGAGCTAATAGTGAAGTCAGAGAAAAAACACACACATGATTAAAAAACAGCTGCAGTCACAGCACCAGATATCTACACCTTCAGACATTAAGACCCCAGAGGTGGAGAGAAGATGAGTGAGGGGATAAAAGTATGAGTGGGTGAGCAAAGAAGATAATGGAGAGTTGAGGTCCTTAAGAAAGACAGGACAAAGGAGGAGTGATGGGAAAGGAACTAAAGAGACTGGCAGTTTGAGAAGAAGAAGGAAAGAATGAGTGGGAAGGAAACACTGGGAGGACAAGAAACTGTAACGATTTTGGGGGAGGCTAGAATGCATGTAGAATCTTGGGAATCTGGAAGGAGACACCAGAATCTGAAGAGAGTGATACAGAAAAATAGGATTTGGAACATCAACCAAAGAACGATATTGGAGAAACCAGGAAACTGTCAAAAGGAGAAGATCAAAGATAGTTAAGAACACCAGAGTAAGTCCAAATAGAACTTTCAGATTCATCAAAGGAAGAGAAAACTCAGTACATAAATTGGAAACTTATCAGTTTCCCATACTTGCTTCCCCAACCATATGGAGCATTCCTGAATCTAAAGAAATTGAAAAAAAAAGGACCTACTCCCTGAGATATATCTTTAAAAGCTTCTTGAGGCAGCAAATCAGCAGAACGTAGGAGTTGTTATTTCTTAATTGCTAAAATTAATGATAAATATTTGAAAACAGGCTGTGGATGAAAAATCATTGACACTTTTAAAAGCAAAGGCTGCAATAAATTAAGCAAGGGTTGAAATAATAAAAACAGAAACATTAAATACCAATACTAATGCCACTAACATTAATAAGTTAAATATAATAAAAACTACAAAACAGAGCAAAAGTTAAACGTAGTTTCAAAACAAAAAGAAAATAATTATTCAAATGGCAAAAGTTAGATAATTTAAAAAAATACAATCAAAATTTAGAAAAAGAAGCATTAAATACTCTATTATAGGCTATGATAATCAACAGACTTAAATAACAGATTAAATAACAAAAATGGAATTCAGCTTTAGTCAACATATTATTGGGGAAGTCTTGTGTCTTTCTCCTTGCATCTGTAAGGGTACGTCTACACAGCAAGGCTAAAGCCAAAATAAGCAACTCAACTTAAGTTACGCAATTGACATAGCTGAAGTCAAAATAGCTTATTTCGGGTTTTGGAGCTGTGTATACAGCACGAAGTCCAAGGGAGAGCACTCTTCCTCTGACTTCCTGTACTCCTCATAAAATGAGGGTTACAGGAGTCAGAATAAGAAGTCCTCCAGCTCAACATTATTTTGACATTATGTCTAAATAACAGCTTATAGTATAGACGCAAACTAGTTATTCCTAAATAACACTGCTGTGTAGACATAGCCTAACTGATTTGTCTGAAGGCCCCAATCTTGCAAAGCAGCTCCGTGTATATAGATCCCTCATCTACAGGGCACAATACTAACTAAATTCATGTCTGCACAGTAGTACCTTTCCTCAGAGAAACCAGTTTGCAGGACTGGGGCCTAAATTAATTTCATTAGGTTACAAACTCTTCAAGGCAGGCCTCGTGCTTTTTTACTCTGCTGCGTGATGTCTAGAACATTTTAGATGTACATTGGCAAATAACAGTTAGTCCTGACTGTAATTAAGTCAATGTTAAATTCATATACGCAAATCTGAGAAGACACTGGATATCAACCAATGAATACAAATAAGATCTATTCTCATTTACACTCGCACAAATCTGGAAAAAATCCAATGGAATTACTTTGGATTTACACTGTCGTGGAGAGATTAGAATCTATCTTCTAACACATTCTTTTATCGGTTATTGCTGTTACAGATTTAACAAAATGAAAAAAATCAGTTCTAAAAAAAGGTGTATAGATGGGATTGCTATTATTAAGATTGCCTGACCTTAAAAGCATCCCTGCCAACAAAAGATAAAAGATACTGAAACTCACACAACCAGGTCAAAAATAATACTGAAACTACAAAATATATTTATTTTATATGAAGTTTAAAGCTATATAGGATGAGAAATTAGAGGAAGGAGATTACAAATGTCTATGCCCCCTTAGTATGAACTGTCACCAAGCAGTGTCAATTTCAAAGGACTTTCTCCTCTACCCAAGTTTTGGTATTATCTGACCCCTTTTGTGGGGCTTCTTGTGTAGTTAAATAGAATCTGTGGCAACTGATCTCTTATAAAATTCAATATAAATCAAAGGAAGTTTACAAATATTACAGAGCATTGCAATGAAGTATGGTTAATCATAATTAGTTTGTCCTTCACACTTAATACTTCAAGGCCAAGATTTCACAAAATGTGAATCTAAAGTAAAGCTACTTCATATTTTAGCACCTAACTAAGCAGCCTGGTTTTCAGAAGTGACGAGCATCTAAAAAAATCCCAAAGACATCAAATGTTCAATTAGGACAAATGCTCCATATACCATTATCAATCCACTGAGACATAAAGTTCTGAAAAGGCTATTTAAAAACAGTATTCTAATTACAGATTCATTCAAAGCAGGGCGGAAAATGTGTAAAGTGCTGAAGTTCCTATAGTGTGGTTTTTTAGGCAGACTAACGTCTCAACAATGATCTGTCATTAAAACAAATATTAAGCATAATTCTTACCGTGGAATTCTTTTCTTCTCTAGCGTATGATCACACTGCAAACATAAAAGATAAATTTCACTAAGGCAATTTGATCATACGTATTTTCTAATATAAATGCAAAAGCTCAGTAAACTTTACATTATGTACATTGATGTACTCCTTTTATAAACATGAATTTGTTTTTACCTGCTTTAAAAATAAGTACAGCTAATGTGTCTTCGGAAATGTGCAGATCCCAAATTTATATGGACTCTTTAATATCCTTTTAGATAAATACAATAAGTGATAACCAATGATAAGTAAAAGTCTTGAAAAAACCCTCTAGCAGTAGCTAATACTTACAGTGCCAGAAATTATAAATAAATAATGTTAATATTCAAAATGATCTTTGTCAATACAAAAAAAAGAGATGTCATTTTATTTATTTTACATTATTTATTATCCTATTTTGTAGTGTATCTTTACAAACAATTTCTCCACTTTCTTCATAAATATGAAGGAGGCAGGGTTGGTTCTCCCTTTAACTTAATTCACTACTATTTGGGAAAAAATGATGGCCAACCTGGCACCAGCCCAAGTCCCTGCTTTCATCCCTGCTCCCGCTCCCATTTCAGCCTCCCTCCCCCTCCCATGCCAGCCCCTGCTTCCCCTCCCATGCCTGAGCCCACTCCAGCCCCCACTCCTCCCTATCCTCCTGTTCTTCCAAGACCTCTCCACTCCCAAGGTCACCGAGGTCCCCAGACACAAGGTGGAACTACCATCTGAACCATGTGCCAGTCTCAGCCCCAGCTCTGAGCCTCTCTTTCCCCCGCCAAGGTTTTCACCCCCCTCATGTATAGGTTCTCAGCCCCCCTCCTCCCCAGTTACTTTTATCCCAATTAAAAAAGCAGTTATTTTTTTCAAAACTAAAGGTTTTTTTTTATTTTGTCTGCAGGGAAGGGGGGTTGTTGTGGGGAAAGGAGGGGGTTTTGTGGTAAAGGCAGAAAGGGGCAAGGCACAGACCTCTAGTGGGGAGGCCCTGCGGAGAGTTACTTGGGTCCTTCAGAGAAACTCTCCCTCAAGGCCTCCCAGATGCGCACCGCCAGCTGATGGACCAGGCGGATGGCAGCTGTGCGTGTCTGCTTGAAGGCCTGTCCCTCCTGGCTGGCCTCTGCTCCCAACCCCAGAAGGAAGGCCTCCTCCTTTCTCTCCATGGTGTTGTGGAGAACACAGCATGCAGAGATTACTTCGGGGATGTTGTGCTCCCCCACACTGAGGCGTGTCAGGAGGCATCTCAACCACGCCTTCAAGTACCCGAAGGCACTTTCTGCCTGGATGTGGGCCCTGGCCAGGCAGACATTGAAACGGTCCCTGTTTGGATCCAGGTGGCCTGTGTACAGCTTCATAAGCCATGTCCCCCATGATGCAAAACGGCATCTTCACGTCCCCATTCCTGAAGTTATGCTAGGGTAAGAATGTGCCAGCCTTCAGAAAATGTCTGTAAATTATCCACAGTGCTTGACCAGGCCCTGCAGAACCATAAAAAAATATCCTTTTCTGTTTATATACTGTGCTGCATGGTGGTTGGGGGCACAGATGGGGATGTGGGTTCCATCTATCACCCCTGCTCTTCCCCCTGTAGTTGGGGAAGCCCAGGGTGGCATATCCAGCCATGATGGGATCCAGGTCTTCTAGGCAGATGATCCTGTGTGGCAGGATGGTGTTTATGGTCCTCACCACCTGCAGAAGGAAACAAACAAAGACACAAAACAGAGAATCAGAGGGGGTGCAAGAGCCCTTGGGAGGTCCCCAAACCCTCTCCCTCCTACTCCCCCCAAACACCCCTGCAGCCACCCCATGAAGCCTGCCACCTCCTGCAGGGCCGTGTGACGGTAGGACTGCAAAACCCCTTGTGAGCAGGGTTTCTCCCCACATACCCAAAGCCCACCTCCCACACCTCCAGCCCTCCCTTTCCCTAGGAGCTAGCTTTCCAGTATTCTCTCCTCCCCCCCACCTCAGAGATTGCAGCCCGAGAGTGCCTTACCTCCATGAGGAGGGCCCCGACAGTTGTCTTGCCCGTGCCAAACTGGTTGTCCACAGACTGGTAACTGTCTGGTGTTGTGAGCTTCCAGATGGCAATGGCGATCCACTTCTCAGGGGAATGGCGGTTCGCACCTGAGTGTCCCATCATCAGAGGGCAGAGGCAAGCCAGGCATGCAGCTCCATGAACGTCTCCTTCCTTATAGAGAAGTTTTGGCACCATTGCTGGTCATCTCACTGTTCCATCACCAGCCAGTCCCACCAGTCGCAACTGGTGTCCAGCCTCCAGAACTATAGCTCCACCGTGGGGTACGGTTGCAAGGACATTGCTTCTGCACACAGGCAGAGGTTTTCAAGTATGAGCTCAGAGTCGAGCTCATGCAGGACCCTGAAGGCAGCCTGCAAAAACTGCTGCAGAAACTGCAGCATGGCTGTGTGAGGCCATTGCATGCTGAGAGGCAGCTCCAGCACCAAGGCAAGGAGTGCTGTGGTGTCCTGAAGTAGGGCAACCAGAGCATGCAGTGCAAAAACTTTGCTGTCCCTCAAAGAGATAGGCAAGCAAGCAGAAGAAGCTGAGGAACAGCTGTCCAGGGGGGTTCCTTTAAGCACGCATCTCAGATAGCCTTAGGTAACAGCACCTGGAAGCAACTGTTGACCTAATGTCCTGCCTGAACTGGTTCTGTGTGGCCTTAAATGCAAGATAGCGTCCAATCAGTGTGGACACTCTCTTTCGAAATAGCACATCGATATTTTGTTGTGCTTTTTGCATGTGGATGGTCTTTTTCGAAATAAGCTTGCAGTGTAGCCGTAACCTTAGAGTCAGTGTTATCAACCCATGCCTCTGAGTTGACAAAAGAATAAAGAAACATTGCCCTTTATTTTTAAAACCAAGAACTATTAAATGTTGCTAGAAAACAAAATCACTTATTAATAATGATATAGTGGTGCCCAATCAACATATGTTCCTAGCTGATTTAGTGTCAAAGTTTTTGAATGCCGTGCAATATACTTTGGCCATGTCCACAGTACGAGATAACATCAAATTTATTAAACTTGACTTTTTAGCACCCAATTTTGTAAAGTCAAAGGTGCGTGTCCCGACTGTACACAAGGATTTAACGTAGTTCAAAAATAGTGTATCCCCAGTAGGGTGGCTACCATCGACTGAGAGTGATGCATTCTGGGTAGCTATCCCACAGTGCCTACTCTCCTTTGGAATATGGGTTATGCTTCTATTGCACACTGGGACCAAAACTGTGCAATGGGTGGTTCTGGGTACATATTACCAGTGTCCCATAATGCACTTATTTCCTCCCTTACTTCTCCCCCTTCCTCCGGCTTGAGAACAATGGCAAACTGTCTTTTTGCACTCTTTATCCCTAGGTTATCTGCGCAGATGCCTTAGCAGAATAAGCCTGGAAGCCATTGTGGATCCTGTTGAGCATGAAAGCATTATGAAAAAGATATTTTCAATCATACACCTAATGCTGGTGTATGTCCAGAGCATATCCAATGTCCACTAGAATAAGGACATATCTCAGGAGGCCATGTTATGACTACTTCAGCTCCTTTATTTTCATCCAGCACTGCTGGGAATCTCTTGCATATTGTTTCTTCTCTATGCCCTTTGCCATCTTGGCATAGATTTCAGCATTATTATTGCTGGTTCGTAGTTCTGCAAGAACAGATTCCTCTCCCTACACAGCAATGAGATCCAGGATCTTCTACACACTCCATGCTGGTGTTGGCTGCAACCTGGGAACTTATGGAACTCATGGTCAGGTATGCTGCTCAGGTGTGCCACCTGCCCTGAGGTCTGCTCACCAAGCTGGCCACACAGGAAATAAAATTCAAATTTCAGTGGACTTGTCTGTTACTCTGCAGAGCAGTAGAATTGCAAGTCATGGTCAGAGCAGTCACTGTGGGACACCTCCCAGAGTCCAAAACTTCAATTTTCCATTTTAATGGCTCTTCAACTGGCTTGCTGGTATGGACTCATTGTTTAGAAAATCAACCTAATATGGCTAAGTTCAACCTAAACTCCCAGTGGAGATCAGGCCTGAGACAATTTGTCTTAGGAAAATCAAGATCTCCTCTCTATGTGCCTCTGGATGATTACGTGTGAAACAGACAGAAGACAGAATAATTTTGATGAGTTAGTTTGACCCTCCAGGACTGTACATAGTTAAACAGATGTCTTGACTAATAAATAACTAGCTTGACAATGATTTAGAGAAAGTATACTACAATTCTCCTTTTTTATAAAACGGTAATCTTTTTCAGACATACAATCTTGTTAACTATACAGATCCAATATTCTACTGAGATTTGACAATTTTTAGTCATATAGTACCTGCTGAAAGTAGTTTTCTATCTTTACTTCCAGATCTTGAATGTGGTGAATAGCTTTGTTAACACATGGAGATGGAGTATTTACTAAAGCACAACTACGTTGCCTGGTGGGGTAACCTAAGTGCATCTTTTTAGTCTTACCTGAAAAAAAAAAAGCACATAGAAAGTCATACACATGTCAGCAATTTTTAGTTAATTTTCAAGCAATAAATCTTGGTTTTAAGATCAGGAAAACTAGCGCTAACAATGTGAATGCATTTTGCACAAAGTACTAATCCACTGTCATTTATAATAGCAAGTGGAAGTTGGCAGAGGATTAAAAATAATATAAAAGGTGAAAGGAGAACCCATGACAGTAGAGAAAAATGGAGAGAAGGGGGAAAAAAAAAAAGTTACTCCTCTTTTGTAACTGTTGCTCTTTGAGATGTGCTGTTCACATTCATTCCAATGAGGTGTACATGCACTAGAACCTGAAGATTTTTGCCTAGAGGCAATCGTTGGGTTAGCCTAAGCCCCCCTGGAGTGATGCGGATATAGCATTCGATATAACCCACTCCTCTCCAGTTCCTTCTTGCTGGTATTCTGACAGAGATATAGGAGAGTGAGAATTGGAATGGACATGAACAACACATCTCGAAGAACAACAGTTACAAGAGGTGAGTAATTGTTTTTTCTTCAAGTGTTTGTTCCAATCAGGTGATTCACAAGTCTAAGCTTTATGAGATGGGTTCAGAGCCACAAACTGACTGGAGCACTGCCCACCAAAACACTGCATCATCGCTGGCCTGCTGGGTGACTGCATAATGTTCAGTGAACATGTGGATGGATGACCACATCACTGTCCTAAATATCGCCTAAGCTGGGACGTGAGCAAGAAACGGTGTGGATGAAGCCTGTGCCCTAGTAGAATGCACTGGTATTGCTAGTGCAGTAACTTGTGCAATACTGTAGTATTTGTGGATACAGGTTACTATCCAGGAGGAGATCCACTGAGATGACACAGGATGGCCCTTCATCCTAACTGCAATAGCTACATATAACTGGACCGATTTTCTGAAAAGTCTAGTTCTCTCAGCATAACAGACCAATGCCCTTGTATAAGACCAGGGTGTGGAGACTTTGTTCCTGAGACCCAGAATGCAGGTTAGGGTAGAATACTGGAAGGACTATGTCATGATTGATGTGGAACTGACAGACCACCTTAGGGAGAAATGCAGGTGAGGTGTTGACTGCACCTTGCCCTTAAAGACATGGTGTAGGGAGGTTTTGATTTTAAGGCCCTGAGTTCGGATACTCTCCTGGCAGAGGTTATAGCCATGAGGAAAGCTACCTTATAAGTGAAGTAAAATAAAGAACATTTGGCTAGCAATTCAAATGGAGGGCATGTTGGCTTTGCTAGGACTATGCTGAGGTCCCATGGAAGCACTGTTTGGCATGCATGTGGGTATCTAGACCCAAAAGTGCCAGCATTAGAGATGGAACTGCTGAAGTGGTCAGGCCCAAGAAGCAGAATAGGTGTCAACACTGGACCCATGCCTTTTGACAGTGCCATGGAAAGAAACTGGATTTCCCCCAACTAGTAAAAACTATTGACAACTAATTAACATGAATTACAAACTGTGGAAAATACATGTGCTAACTACTGCTGGAAGAGCTTGCTGATAGCATAGATTTCCTCAAAGTGAGCCGCTTTGAGAAACACTGCAATAGCAAAAATGAGACGTACCAGTTACAGTCACCAGACAGTAAGAAGGAACTGGGGAGTTGGCAGATCAGTAAGGCTATATACCAAGGGCCATATTGGTGCCACTGTGGGGGCACCTAGGCTGACAACCATTGCTGCTAGGCAAAAATCTTCCTGCTCCTGTGCATCCACACCTGATTTGAATGCACATGAACAAGCACTCAAAGAACTACAAAAACAAATAACACAGGACAAAGGGGTCTGAGGCCAAAAAGCAATTTACTCCATCTACAGCTCATCACAAGTGAAGTGACTTTGATGGTTTATTTCTAGCCGTTAGTGGATAATCATGAAAATGACAAGTAACAGTAAATGAGTGCCCGCTTCTGCTCTAGAAAGGCCCAGAGTGGAACAGAAAAGGTGAAAAAATAACTCTGGTGGATTTGCTTAACAGTTCTGCATATACTACATTTGGCACTAGCCAGTGTACACTTTAAATTTTTGGAGGAATGAAAGCATAGAATAATACTTTTTATTTTAGAACACAAACTATCTCAGGCATAAACCATTTTAAGCAAACTCATTAAAAACTATACGGTTTCCCACTCAATTCTGTTACCTGATAAATAAAGCAGACTGTGCCACCTAACTCATCTGCAGCAGTATTATAACTACCTGATGAATAATGTATTTTACAACTTAAGTAAAGATATCAGAATCTGACCCCAAAAGTCACTACTGAAGAAGCTAAGAATCATGCCAAGATGTTGAATCCAAACAAGAGAGTTTTGAAGAAAATACAGAGAATGCCATGTGGCTGTCCTTCAGAACTCCTGGATATAAACTAAGGTAAGGCTAGGTACTATCAGTGATATGCCTGAGACTGACTACATATACATTTTCATGCTCTTAAGATTCAGATAATAATTCATATTAAGATTTAAAAATGACCATGGTATCCTTCAGCCATTTATAAAAATCTCTTGGAGAAAGTTTTACTTAATCTCATGGCATCAAATAAAACAACAATCTAGATGGACTTTTCCAATTACTTTAACCCATTCCAGATAAAAACCAAGTAGTTTTTAAAATCAAAATGTGTGGTGAAGGACATTATCAGAATGGAAATGACACTATGGAGAAAATGTTGGCATAATAACTGTCTACAAAAAGCATCCCATACTGCCTCCTCTGGAAGGAAACATGGATGACTATATCTGGAGCAAGCAAGCTAGCTATACCTTTGCTGCAGTCTTCTAGCCAGTAACACAGCCGTTTCTCTCCCTCTGTGCTCTGAGACACAATTTGCAGTTCTACAACATGCCTAATGTGGGCCAGGACCTAAACAACATCATCTGGCTCAAAGACCGCACAATGAAAATTAAAAAAATACCAGGAAGTGCCAGATTTAAGTCCTAGAACAACATTATTTCAAATTTAGTTCAATGGTATAAAATTTTGTATTCCCAATTTTATTGTTAAAACTGTATATTTTTAAAATATATTTTCAAAAGCATGAAAGATATGGCCACATTAATATTGCTGTAAGTATTGCATTTTCTTTAAGTCACTAGCTTTAACTGATCAAACTCACATTTTCTTATTTTAAATAAATCAGATTCTAAAATTCAGGAATTGTATTAGATAAAAAAAATTACCCCCTAACTGCTCTATTTTATTCTCAATAGATTATTACCATGGGTTACAAACAGGACTTCACAAATCCATTTACTGATGACAAGGAAGAAATGTATGTTGGTGAAAAGGGCCTCACTCATCATTTTCTGCAGAATATAAGATTTAATTTAAAAAGACATTTTCAAATCTAATCAATTTCAGTTTTTTCCAGACAGGAGAACTGGACTCTTACGTCACAGGAAGAAGAGCCCAGAGTAGGTAATGGCTTGAATTTAAGCACTCTGTCACTGTGGAGAGAAGGAGAACCAAACAAAAAAAAACGCATAAAAATAAAGTAATTACTTAAATATTGTTTGAAGACTTTAAAAGTCTGAACTAACTGAAAATTGTACACTATAAAGTCTTTAAGAACATCATAACTTACTTATGATGATGGCTGACTACCATCCTTAGAAGAGGAGAAAAGTGATTGCGTTTCAAGCACTATTCCTTGCAGCCTAATTTTAAAATAAATGATACATTATTTATTAAAAACAAAACAAATTCATTTATTTCATCAGTACAAAATTTATTTCATTCATATTAACTAGCCATAATGTTGGTAAAAACCAAGAGATTCTGATTTTATGTTCAAATCTTCTATGAATAGAAAAGCATGTGTGAGACAGCTGATGATAAATTATGAAGCATCATATTAAATCATTTTAATTAACATAATTTTGTTATTAAATAGTTATAAAAATGTGGATAAAACCACATTGTTATTTCTTCATTTACATGGCCTAACATTCTAAACTGTGCATGCTATTTTTCAGCCAGTCATAGCAAAAATTATCAAGGACTGTACAGTTTTGAGAAACTAAAATGCATGACCTATAATATAAATTCAACCGAAAACAAAGACAGTTGATAATAGCCCCTAAATGTGTAAAGTCAGTAATAACTGAAGAGTTGTTGTGTGTATGGATAGAAGACAGAGAAAAAACTACTTATTTAATCTCATTCAAGTTTACAATTAAATGTTACTAAAGTAAATATATGCCCTTTAAAAACCAAACATTAAAAATAATTTTAATTACCAAAGTAACGTATTTCAATATTTTGTAACCCTTTCAATTAATACATTGACCTGTGCCCCTGCCCTGAGAACCCCACCTCCTAATCCCATGCCCTGACTCCTGCATTCCCACACTCTGCCCTGAGCCCCTCCTAATCCTCCAACCCTGACTCCTATCCCTTCCCAACCCCAGCCTCCTGCCCTGAGCCCCTTACATGCACAAACACCTGCCATGACTTCTGCACTTCCCCTGCCCCCACCACATACACACACCTCAAGCCCCCCGACCTGAAGGACCTGAGTAATTCCAGGAAGTCTTTTAGTTGTACTATACAGAAGTAGAAGAAATCTCTGGAACTTTAGGAAAAGAAGAGTCAGAAGACAGCAATAGGAGAGAGAAGTCTTGAATTCCCCAGGTAATGTGGGCCAAGTAGGTTAAAAACTGGACAACATTATGCAACTGAGTTCCAGCCTCAAACACCTTTAGTTGCTCTCTTGCAGACTTTCTGCACATACAGAGCATAGCAATATAAATAATGGAATAGATACGTAGATCCATGTGTTAGTCTGCCAAAAACTTATTGGAAAATGACCGCAATGATAAATATTCCCATACCACACCTTGCAAGACTGATGCTGTTTTTCTGCCTACAAGAAAAATGATCATTTGTGTATTTTATACTGCTGTTATACTATTGCAACAATTTTTATACAAAGTGTACCATGTAAGATGTCAATGAAAAAGTTATAATCTATCGTGTAGGATTATACTATTTATAAGCATGTATCATCTTTGTATCTTAAGCTATGAATGTTGGCTATGGTTTTGTATCTCCAACATGTGTTTCATTCATGGGCAACATTTTCCAGATTGATTTACATCAGTGCTAGATAGCCATGTGTCGATGGTCAATTAGCAATACACCCCTCTCTTTGCCCAGATATACACTAAGGCTTTATTTCAAGGTAACCCCCCTCCCAGTTGAATTGATAAGCAGAGCATCAACATTACCAAGCCCATTATTTCAAACTAACGGGCCGCAGAATTTGAAATCTGTACTCTTGCTTTTCATCAGGAGTAAAGCTAATTCCGAAATAGTTATTTCAAAATAATGGTAGTGTGGGTGCTCCAGTGCTACTATTTTGAAATTATTACTCCCCAGAGTAATTGGAACTAATTACTCCCCAGTTCTTCCTTGGGCTCTAAGTTCGAGGTAGCGCACCCTCAATAACGGAGCCTGCATCAGGCTAATTTTGAGGCTTCCCTGTAGTTTTTAGCAATTTTGAAATATTTTCCTCGAATAGACATGGCCATAATATGCTACTGAGAAAATTCACCCCACCCACTCAGCCTTTCCTATGGAGGCCTCAGAAAGAATTGCTGCTGTTGTGAGACAACAAAGTACGAAAAGGCATGTGACTCTGGAATCCATCTTGGGCCAGTTACTGTCTTTGTTTGGGACAGTAAACTGCCACATGCATGGCAAAGGATATAAAATACACTTCCATTCTGCTTCCTTCTTGCTCTAATTTGTTGGACTATGGATTTACAACAAAAAGGAACATCTTGAACTATGGGCTGAGGACATTCAAATCTCTTAGGGTATGTCTACACTGCATGCTTGCTTATTTCAGAAAACGCTATTTCAGAATAAAAATTCCAAAATAGCTTGTTTTGAAATGGTCATTTGCTGTGTAGATGCACTATTAAAATTAATGGTAGCAGGTTTAAAATGAATAAAAGAAAGTTCTTCTTCACACAGTGTGTAGTCAACCTGTGGAACTCCTTGCCAGAGGAGGCGGTGAAGGCTAGGACTATAATAGAGTTTAAAGAGAAGCTAGATAATTTCATGGAGGTTAGGTCCATAAAAGGCTATTAGCCAGGGGATAAAATGGTGTCCTTGGCCTCTGTTTGTCAGAGGCTGGAGAGAGATGGCAGGAGACAAATCGCTTGATCATTGTCTTCAGTCCACCCTCTCTGGAGCACCTGGTGCTGGCCATTGTCAGTAGACAGGATACTGGGCTAGAAGGACCTTTGGTCTGACCCAGTACGGCTGTTCTTGTATGTTCTTAAATAGCACTGAGCTATTTCAAAATAGAGCATCTACATTCATTCAACTCTGAATCACATTCAAGGTCACCTGGAAGCATTTCAGGCAGGACATCAGGATTACACTCACTTTCTGGAGCTGCTTCCTGAGGCTCAAGCTTAAAGGGACTCCCTGTACAGCCATGTCTCAGGCTCCTCTCCTTTGCCTACCTCCTTGAGGGACAGCAAAGCCTTTTCACTGCCTGCTCTGGTTGTCCTTGTGGACACCATAGCACTCCAGCCATGGAGCCAGACCTGCCTCCAAGCACCTCCTGCTGCCCTTCCTTGTATACCTTGCACTGCCACTTCTGATGACTAGACACCAGTTCTGACTGGTGGGTCTGGATCTTCATGGAGCAGTGGGACGACCAGCAGTGATTCCAGAACTTCTCAGACAGTGTGATATTTGAGTAAGATTTAAGCTGAATATTGATCTGGGGTAAGTGGCTGACATTTTGAGATCACTAACAACTTCACATATGGTGAAATGGGTTTTCAATAACCTCTCACTATATTAGACTTGATTGTCTGGATAGGAGAGAAGGGCTGAAATGCTTAAAGTGCACTTCATTTGCCTACTCTCTTCTGATCCGTTTTTGCAGTAGGGGTTTTTGCACAAAAACAAGTAGTGTGGACGTTTCCTTTTAGAAAGGCTTTCCTTGCTGACTGATCCCCCTCTTGACTGACACTTTGTGCCACCAAACAGCTGAGTTGGCACAACACAGCAGCCATTTTTATTCTAATGAAGCAGGGGATATTTAAATCCCCGCTTTATTGACTATGTCGGTATGTCTAATTTACATGCCTCTGTCGGCAGAGGCATGTTGTCTAGACATACTCTAAATGATTTGTGAAGACTCAAGGTGATTTGTATTTCAATATTTATTGTAGTGACCCATGAAGACAAAACCCTACATTGCAGCTAATACGACAATATACCTTTCTGAAATCACTGCATGTTACTCCACAAAAGAAGAAAAAGTAATGGAAAACCAATGTGGATGCTTAGCTTCATCAGGTATACAATGCGCTAATGCTTCTATATTCTATTTCACACCTCATTAAATATGTCTGAAGCTGCAATGCACATATTCAACTTTTTTAATTACTTTGTTGGTACTTTAAGCTACTGTAACAGAAATAATAATTTGTCAGAATAGCTATTAAAAACATCAATTTTATTACTACAACATCACAAATGAAAGGACCAGAAATTCATAGTTAAGAACCAGAGCATCATTTTACACACTTGAGCAAAATTTAAAGTAATTTTTTAAAAAAAGTTTAAAATTAAAGAAATTAGAATTTTAGTAATTGCAATTGCTAGCCACATAATCATCATTCACATGAACACTTTTCATTATAAATGCCACCCACACAAAGGCTCTACAATTCTTGATAATGTATTACACACACACACACACACACACACACACACACGTACGTTAAAAGAATGGTAAAGTTGCAAGTAGAAAAACTCAAAAAATGCTCATTTGTATACAACATTCCCTTTCTGTCTTACACTGATTTAACTAAGGACATTTGCACCTCCAGTGGACCAGAGTGTACTGGTCTGGCAGATAAAGAGTTACACTATCTGGTACATGTAAAAAGAATTTGGCCAAAATTAAGGAAAACATTCACAACATATCCCTGCCTCATTCATTATGCATCATCCAACCTGCATTGTGAAGGAGACAGAAAGCTTGACCAAAATCAAATACGTGATCATGAAATTAAAGAATGTCTAAGTAAAGCATACAAAAAAGGTGTAAAGTTAATACAACTGTCATTCGTTAATATGAGTATTTCCTGACTTGAGTGCTTTATTTTAAATTTCAGCATTTAACTGAATTTAAAACTCTACATAGTTTTTAGTAGAGTCTAGGATTTATTAAAGGGAAAAATGTTCACTCAACTGAGACAGAAATGCCTTTTGTGCATTGAATGAAGCAAGTCTCCAGTTCATTGAAAAAAAATATTAATACATCCTATAGCACAAAAAAAAAGGGTTCTTCCAGGATTATTTCCATAAACTACAAATAAACTACAGGTTGAACTGCTCTAGCCTGGCACCTTTGGGATCAGTGCCAAACCAGAGAATTTGCTCAATCATAGGTCAATATTGTCTGGAACAGTGGTCCCCAACCTTTCAGGGCTGCCAGGCACCTAGGGGTGGGGCCGTGCATGCGCCGTGTGTCCGGGGGTGTGGCTGCACACGTGCCACACGCCCAGGGGTGGGGCTGGCCCAGATCATTCCACGGGCACACATAAATGTCCCGGCAGGCGCCATGGCACCTGCGGGCACTGCGTTGGGGACCATTGGTCTAGAAGCATTACCAACATTTCCA